TAAAAGATTTTATTTATTTTTAGAGAGCAGGGAAGAGAGGGAAAAAGAGGGGGAGAGAAACATCAGTGTGAGAGAGAAACATTGATCGGTTTCCTCTTGTAGATGCCCTGACCAAGACCTAACCTGCAACCCAGGCATGTGCCCTGACCTGCAATTGAACCAGTGACCTTTTGCCACTGAAAACAATGCCCAACCAACTGAGCCATATGGGTCAGGGTTCAGGTATTTATTTCATTTAAACTTCTTTTCTTACTAACATCATTGTCACAAACCAGTGCACCTGAACCTAATTGTCCCTCACACAAATCATTATTGTGCAGAGATAATTTTTAATTAAATTGCACTTAAGTGCCCATTGAAGTTTATCATAAAAACCCCGAGCACCTCAACCAATACCTACACATTCCCAGGCCACTTAAAACAAGAAGTTTAGGTCCAATGCTGGAAAAAGTATTTCAAACTTTTGCTCGCTCTCTCTCACACACACCCTATATTTTAATGCCTAGAGTGATCCAAAAAGTATCTCCAATCACCACCAAAATAGTCCTTTTTTCTGGTATTGTAAAGGAATTTAGATTTTTTTGTCAGTGTCTGGGTCCAGAAAGGCTTTACTTTTCAGTCTCCAGAAACACAATCATCCATTCCTTCAAGAGAGAATAATGTGTTTTTCCCAAATACGTTGCACAGAAAAGATAAGGCCGCTTGTCTCTAGGGAGATGGGAAGAACAAATTGTGTTGTCAACACAGGAAGGCTGCTGCAGAGGGGGACGCATCCCCCTGCCACCCTAGGAGAGGAAGCCAGGAAGCAGGGGCTGTTTACTCGGGAACCACCATGAGAACCAGGCGGCAGCCCCTGCCCCAAGGGGGGGGGGGGGGGAGAGACAGCCAGATCTGGGGCAGCTGTGGTCCCAACAGGACATTCTTCTCCCAGCCTCCCAGTGCGATCTGTCTCTAAACCTGAGGCTGCCAAGCCAAGGAGTGGTCCAGCACGCCTGCCCTCCCAGGACAGCCCTGGGAAGTCGGCTGGAGGAACCTGACAAGGATGCAGGACAGGAAGAGGCACTACAAAACTCTTGGTTTAAGCTGTCTCTGAGAAAATGAGTTTGAGTGCGTAATCTGCGTGGCAGATCGGTGCTGTGTCGATTTATCTAAACAGGAACCACATTTATCAGGATCCTCCATTGCGTGTTTCTAGGTTAGCGAGCAGCACAAGAAACATATGGTGGGATTTGGAATTTAAGCGTAAACCATATTCTATTTTTAATTATTGTGGTATAACATTGGCTAATAACAGAGCATAAATGTCAGGTGTTCAACAGTATCATTCCATGTCTGTATACACTACTGCACGCTCACCATTAAAAGTCTACTTTCCATCCACCACCGTATATTTGACTTTCCTTACTCATTTCATTCTCCCCCCACCTCCTTCCCACTCTGATAACCTCCAGTCTGTTTTCTTCTGCTATACATTTGTTTTGTTTGTACTTTTAAAGAACACATGGTTTAAAAGCTCTGAAAGTGGAGGCATGCATAAATGCAGGCACTGCTGAGCCAGCTCGTTCTTTGGACACAGGCTGGAGCGAGGCACACAGATGCTTCAGCTCCCACCAGGTCACCTCCTGCTGTTGCCCAGCTCCCAAACCTGATGCAAGTGTAGCAACATGAGGAGGCGTGCCAATTCCTCCCGCAGGTCACTCATTATTGAAGTTGAAAGTCAAGATAGAGGCTGGTGAGGTTCCCAGCTTGTGCTTGTGGGTTCCAGCTCATCCTTCTGGATTTGTCTTGTTTATCTCCCAATTCACATTGGTCTTTTGTTCTTGAAGGCCTGCCCTGCTGACTTCCAATAACAGAGTCAGAAACAACAACCATATATAAACTGCTTAACCAGCTCCCATAACTGTGAAGAGTCAAATCTCCATTAAAAAAAAAAAAAAGTTTCTTCCACCCCGGCTAGTGTGGCTCAGTAGATTGAGTGCTGATCTGAGAACCAAAGGGTTGCTGGTTCAATTCCCAGTCAGAGCACATGCCTGGGTTGCAGGCCAGGTCCCCAGTTGGGGGTGTGAGAGAGGCAACCTCTCTTTCTCCCTCCCTTCCCCTCTCTCTAAAAATAAATAAATAACATTAAAAAATAGTTTTTTCTATCTCACTTCTAGTGGTTCTGTTTCACTGGGCATCCCCTGCCCAACGCCATCTAAATTCTAGAAGAGAAACTGCCAACATTCTTGGTACTGGGATTGACCTAGTTATTAACCAGATGCTTTGATATAGGCAAGATGGAACATTGGAGATTTCTGATAAAATTAAGTCATGAAAATATAGCTGTCGACTTGAAGAATGGGACAGGAGCAGATGGCAGTAAACAACCATCTAAAAAGCAATGAAATGAGAGTTGGAAATATTAAGAATTTTGAATTTGATAATGTTTTAAGGAATGTAGTTTACTTTATATGTAAAAGTCTATGTATGTTTATATATATGAGTATGTATATATTATATACACATGTAAATTATATACATCACATACAAATATAAATATAAATAAAGCTAGACAAATAAATGTTACCTAGCAGCCATCTCCACAGGACTCTTTTCTGTGAACAAATATGAATTGATAGTCTGCCAAAAGGATGCTGAAAGGTGAACTTTAATCCAGCCTTGTTTGGAGAAAATAATACTACTCTCTGTAACTCTAAGAAATAAAAAAGATTGGTTATAGTGTTTCACATATTATTTCTTTATATTCTATCTCATTTCTAAAAAGTATATGAGGCAGCTTGCAAAGCCACACACTAGAATAAAATAAAATAAGTAGGTGATGAAAGCAGAGCAAAGGAAAATATGGCTAAAAATATAAAGTAGAAGAGGTATGAAGTGAATTCAGGAAAACATACCAATTCAAAAGAATGCATACAATTAATCCCTGTGCAGATAAGGGGAGTAAGTATCAGCAGTGAAAAACTCATGAAGCATTAGACTAATTTAATAAGATTTAGTATTTTGTATGTAGAAACTGATCATTTAATTTCACTCTATAATAATCAGGTTTTTCTCATAATGTGTATTCAATTTATGGTCCCAGTTGCTAATACATTTAGACAACCAGGAACATGTTCAGTCAAGATTAATAAAATAGTGGGAAAAAATGGAAAGAATGCCCTGGGAAGAATGGTTGAAGGTTTGAATCTGAAAGAAGGAAGATTTCATGAGGCAAAATAACTCTCTTTTCACCATAAAAAACTCCTAAGTAAGATAGGGCAAATTTGAAATGCATTACCTAGTAATCAATATAAAGTCAAAGAGTTAAAGGTAGAGCAAATAGATGGAAGGTACAGGTAATATTCATACCCATACAAATGCCAACATATAATAAAATATTTTGAGTTGCGGTAAGTTGAGGTCTTCAAGCAAGTAGGAGCTCCTTTCGAGGGATGTCCCAGAGGAGAGGCAGACGCTGGCTGTGAGGCTGGAAAAAGATGATGTCAATGGTTGTTTCCTGTCTTAATGCAGCATATCATAAACACCATCCCAGGACAGGTGGTACGTGCTTTTTCCAAAAATCATAGGTCATTTCCTTGCAGTTTGAGAAACAAAACAGAACCCTAAACTGCGAATACTTGAATACTTTGTTCATTTTCTTGGGGAACTGACAAGACCAAAATAGCCATACCTGAGACACACCTATTACTCAGCAACACCCTCCCTAGTTCTCCCCGATGGCTTCTCCTTCACTTTGTCATCTTTCCCATGTAGGCTCACCCTCCCTAGAGGATAAGCCAGAAGTTCCATAAATCAGTTCTAGCCCACGGGTAGATGTGCCTAAAATAAACAAAGTTTAAGCTTTAAAATTAGTTTCTAATGGTTAAAAATAAGAAAAATAAACACAAATTTCCAGATTCACAACTGTTTTGAAAAATAGAAAGATCTGGGAGTCTTGTCTGCATGGAATTCTCATCGCTGAAGCAGAATTTTGTCTCCCCTCTTTGACTAGAACCTGGGTCTCCACTGAGCCACCCCTTCTTACTGTCTTATGCATTTAGATTAATATCTGGTTCTGGCTGAATCTGTAATCTCTGCCATGTATTTTGAGCACACTGGCTGGTGGATATTTGGCAGGGGTGGAGTGGGGTGTGTATTACTATAAACTGGAAAACTTCTTGTGAATGTTTGTTTATGTTCTTAAGACTGTCTTAGCTGGGTTCTCTAGAGAATAGAGCCTGAAGCAGGGATTAAGTGCTGATGCTTTATTTGGGACGTGCAAACCTCAGGCAACAAAAGTACAGAGAGAGGAAAGTGAGTCAGGAAATTATAGCAAGCAGTTGCTAGGAGATGTATAATGTTGCTGGGCATAACACTCTACCTGGCAGATGCAAACACTCAGCCAGGTGGGATGTCTCAGAAAAGTCTGTACAAGGGCAGACTTGTTACCATGGGCAGGAGAAAGAGAAGGATTCCATTGACCATTCCCCATCAATCAAAGTTTACACCATTGAAGGTTAACCTCTCTGTGCTTCTGATTTGCCTGATCTGGTTCCTGTGATGGCTTCTATGATGTCAGATTCATCTCTACAGAGCAGGGTTGTTTTTTTACCCTATTCTAAAAATGGGAGGAGACATAACTGACGTGTGTGTGCCTGGTGGAGCTACCTGTACAGGAGCAGCCAAGGGCAGTGCCCGTAGGTGTGGGCCCTGGGTGGTGGTACTTGCTATGGGGAGTTCTAAGTGGGATCAATCAGCCACTGAGGAAAAGCGAGTGAATGAGAGTCCTTGGTAGTGATCGGGAGGAAGTCTAAAGCAGGGGTCAGCCAACTAAGGGCCACAGGCCCAAACCTGCTTCTGTATGGCTTGTGAGGTGAAAATGGTTTTACCCATTTAAATGCTTGAAAAGAAATCGAAGGAAGAATAATATTTCATGATGCACAGAAATGATATGACATCCAGTGAGTGTCCACAGATGAAGTTTTACTGGACCACAGCCACACTAATTCACTCACATGCTGTCTGTGTCTGCTCGCATACGGCAGAGTTGAGTAGGTGCAGCAGAGAGTGCGTAGCTGGGAAGTCATGAAATAGTTACCATCAGGCCCTTTACAGAAAAGGCTTATCAGTCTCTGGTCTAAGGAAGCCAGTTCGGTGGATCTGCATCAAGGAGCAAAATGAAACATTCTCAGCAAAATCAAAGGGCTATAATCGCTCAAAAATAAAGGCCCCACAAACAGAAGCAACAGGGGTGGGGGGAGGATTGAATGGGGGAGGTAGGGTGGGGGGCAGAGGAGAGTCATGGGGGGATAATGGGGACAACTGTAACTGAACAACAATAAAAAAGAAAGAAAAAAGTTATCCTTACCTCTAAAATATTATTTTAGAAGCTATGATAATTTACACACACCTATGTGTGCCCTCAAAACTGTGAATATAATTGCACTCCCATGTGCAACTGGAAGAAACTTCCCTAGTCAATGTCCCCGATCTATTGATGGAATCGCTGACAAATGTCAAAATAACTTTTATGCCTTTGACCCTGATGACAAAATAGTAACTCTATTCCCAGAAGAAAAAAATCTCAGAGCATTATTCTTATATATTCAACATGGCAGAAAAGAGATAATATTTGTTTATTTACTTTTAATTCAAGTCACATGATTTCAACTTAAAAATCCTACTTGGGACAAAAAAAAAAACTGTGCACACACAAAGAAGCCACAGCTTGAGCACCTCTGTCTGGGTGCACAAGCAGGCACACTCTCCTATTATCATCTGAGATGAGTGAGAGGCCCACCATGTGCCAACTCTATGCCAGGGGAAAGACATACGGCCCTGCTAATAATAGACCTCATTTTGCTGACAGCTAGAAAACAAAACAGTCTCTGCAACTAACTATATTAAGAACTCTGGACAAAGAAAGATTTTGAGCATTTAGAGGATATGTTTTATTTGGAGACTAATTAAGGTCTGTTTATTCACCCAAAAAGCATCTGCCAAGAGTCTGTTTAGTCCTAGGGGCTGGGTGAGATGCTAAAGAGACTCACATATTTAAGACACAGTTCCTGCCTTGGCACTTGGGGTATCATTGACCAGCACTCCAGCCCCCATGGCCCGGATGCTATAAACTATGCATCCCTCCCAAAATAGCCCTCTCTGGGGACCTGGGCTCCCAGTGGCACAATATCTAACTATTCCTGGCTCCACTTCCCAAGGCGAGCCTGACCTTTCATGGCAGCTGGAGAGATGAGCTACCGGAGCCACGCAAGCCTCTCCCAGTACGTGCACCCTCAACCCAAGTATGTGTAGAGTCTGCTTTTTGTAAGAGGGCTCAGCCCAGGCTCCTGAGATCCTCGGTGCCTCCTCTGCTCTGGTATAGACCCACCAGGATGCCTCTCAGCAGCTGACTTACTCAGTGGGAACCAAGGCTTCTTCAGTTCTGTCTAAAAGTGGATTTAGACACTCTTGTGAGTGTTAGAGGACTTTGGGATACAAAAATGGAAATTAGTGGTGTTTTATGACCAGCAAGAGTCTTCCTTTCTGATAGGGCTGACTAGGCACGGCGAAGGTCTGCTTGAAACAGCCACTTGAAGACACTGTGCTCTCAATAGTGTTCTCAATAGTGACTCCGAAGCAACGGTGTTTTTTCAAAATACTCTATTTGAGGCAGGATGGTGTAGTAGAACACACATAAATGCTAATTACTTTCCACCATTTTTGGCAATTAAACATGAATCCTTATTTACATAGCTCTGCCCTATAGGTGCAGTAAGCTGTATTTCTGGGTAAACTGAAGTAGAAGTTCTGTCACTTGGATATGCTTCAAAACACTTAAAGCATTTTATCTTTATAAAAGACATATGGCTGCCTTGGACTTTAGTATCTTTGATGATATATGAAAGGTCTGTCCGGAAAAAGTCCAGCTATTATTCACATAATAAGAACGATTTGCATGCCACCAAAGTAACCTCGCAGCCAAGCAGAGTGGACTGAAATGTGCATGCATGAACAATAATGACTTCACTTACTAGTCTATGAGGGCAGTAGACACCATTGAGTGAGCATGTGTACTGTGTGGGGATCTTATTCAAAAATGCTGAGTGAGTAGAGCAACAAATCTGCATCAAATTTTGTGTTAAGCTTGAACATTCCTCTGTGGAAACTATTCAGATGATTCAGAAGGCTTTTGGGGATGACGCAATAAGTGCAGCACCAATAAAAGTGTGGCACAAATGCTTCAAAGGTGGTTGAGAATCTGTTGAAAGTGATCCATGTTCTGGAAGGCCTGCAACAAGCAGAACACCTGAGAATGTTGAATGTGTACAGGCTGCAATCAACAAAGATCGGCAACTGGCAGCACAAGAACTAGAAGCTCATCTGGGGATTCCCAAAACTATTGTGTATGAAATTTTGACTCAGGATCTTGGCATGAAATGTGTCACAGCTACTGGAGCAGAAGGAACATCTTGCTGCAGTTGCTAATGACCTGGGGAGAACTAACTGTGTGAGGTCCCAAGGTGCCTACTTTGAAGGGAACTGAGGCGTCATTGTCCTATACACAGTATCTCTTGTATCTTGTATCTTCTTCAATAAATGCCTCTATTTTTCATATTACATGGCTGGATTCTCTCTGGACAGGCCTCCTATATACACACCAGGACTTCTGTCCCAATCATTGGCATCACATCAGCACTATTGGTCTGAGATGAAGGCAGGTGTTCTAGGAGATGACCACACTGCTTATGCCATCAGGAGCCACCCAGCCTATACCATTTGACATCAGGTTCTCTCCCAAGGTTCTCTCGGATCGATCACTCCGTCAGAATTCCGAAAGCAAACATAAGGACCTCTGACTCCGGGTGCCCATTCTCAGGGGATTTTTCATTGCTCCGCCTAGCGTCAAAGTTGACACACATTTTCTCTTGCTTTCCCTCTTTGCACGGTAGCTTTATTTCTCCTTTACCTTTTCCATTTAGGTGCCCCAACCTTGTGCAAGGGAAGGTCTCCTATCAGTGACCTTACTTCCAAAATGCCAAGATTGGGTCAGGCTACTTGCCTATAAATTTCTAAAAACTGGAAGAGTGTCTGGTATACAGGTAGCACTCAATTATTAAATTTAAATTATTGTTTTGACCTAATCTTAATCCAGCTCTAATTTTCTGATTAGTCATTTGTGCCCACAATAATTTAGGTTAAGCTAGCTTGTTCTTTTAGTCAACCACTGTATATGGACTGCTGGACTTGACTCTATTTTGGCTCCTTGGATTTACCTGCCCCTCTGTGGTTACTGGTCACCTGGCCTCTGAACCATCCCAGGTGTGGAAATTCAGACAAGGCTGCCATCTTGAGCCCAAAGAAAGTGTTTTGAGTAAATTATCCCCTGGTGTTTTATAAGGGACCTAAACCCTTTCCACGCCCTGCTGAGTAAAGCTTCTGTCATACATGCTCCTGGCAATAAGGAGAGTCCTGAGAGGAGAAGGAAGGTCCTGTCATTTTTTCCCCCACACGGTGACTAGGAGCGTTACGGGCGAGGTCTTTACGAAACCTTGAAGAAAAATGGGTAAATAAAAACCCGAACATATTTAAAACATATGTCATACCAAGAAGGAGGCTCCAAATGGTAACCCAAAAATCATGTGGAGTCAAAATAGGATTAGAAAATAGCCCAGACTCCCTATAACTTCCAGTACACTGTACGTCCTGCAGACACCGCTTTCTTTCCCAGCACTGAGAGAAGCCAGGCTTTCTTGAGCTGACTGCCAGAGGAGATCATTGGCTTACATGTAGGGGCCATGCTACTATATATAAATATGTATGTTATCTTTAAAACCAGAACATAATTGGTATGAGATACTCACATATGGGAAGTGTGCTTAGAAGCAACTGAAAAATAAGCTGTCACCCTCATTTTCTCTTCAGTTTCTTTTCTTCTTCTTTTTTTTTTCTGACCTCTGAAGTTGGAGTTTGTGTTAAATGTCACATATGGCGCTCTTCTGTACCATTAGGAAACTCACCACTCAGCTTAACCAGAGTCAGTACACAGTGTCAACTGCAAGGGACTATGGCCAGGGGACCCTGAGGATGGGCTAAACCTTCACAGTGCAATCAGGTCCAAGAGCTGGAGAAAGGGGTTCTTCAGGAAGGTGATAATCAGTGATGGGTGCTGGGCACAGGTTACCACTGTGGAGGGTCCTGACACTGGCTACACTAAAGCTGTGACTTTGGGCTTGGAGTAGAGCAGGAGGGTCCCTAACCCTAGAGGACAGTCAGTACAAGAGCTAGGCAAACCCAGTGGAGACAGGAAGCTTCTTTGAGTGAAGCAGAGCCTCTTTCAGCGATTCTCTAGAACAAAGCACTCTTTTGGCACCAAGGGGCATGGCTTGGCACCAGCCTGCTGGCGGGATTCCTGTCCCACTCGCTGTCTCAGCCTAGCACCTTGGTATAGCAGTCAAATGGTGGCCCCAGTGATGAGAGGGGGTGTGATGGTCAAGGTCTGTCTGAATCCTCCCCCCTTGTGAAACTGAGTTGGTCTCAGAGCTTGGGTTGTCTCATCAGGAGGCGAGAGGGGACTGTAGAACTCTAAAACAGGCTGCCAGGTATCTCATTGTGTGTGCTGGGCTGGAGAACAATCCTTTAATCCCACCAACAATCCCTGCAACAAGAAACACTGATTCTCCTTTTATTTAATTAGAGGACTGTTTTCTCATGAGCATTCTGCCTGATTTATGAATACCTATTGTTCAACCCGTAATTGCATATTCAGCACTGCTCAGTGGAAGTGGGTTTGTACTGCTTGCTTGATATTTTAAAAATCCTTTTCTTAAGTGTATATGATTGATTTCATTATGTTGCATAAAAATCAATGCATTCCAGGAGGCACTCTGTGGTTATGTATTGTTTTAAATCAGTGATTTTCAGCTGGTGTGCCACAAGAGGTAGGCTGGTGTTCTGCAAGGATTTTTAAAGCATGTAACAACACCTGACTATTTAGTCAGGGGCACTGACCTCTTTCCCCTTAGAGTGTCAAATAAAAAAAAAATGACAACAGCCAACACAACAATAGCCATCCAGTGAGAATAAATCAAAGTTATACCTATTTTTTGTCAGACCAGCAAAAAATATAATATATTCTTTCAGTGTGCTGCAGAATTTCAGTAATTAGCTTATGTGTGCCAAGAGATGAAAAAGGGTGAAAAATCATTGCTTTTAGGTAGCTGTTTGGACTCAGGGAGAAGACTATGCTGAACTAAACACAGCCAGGCTGGCTCGAAAGCCCCACAATTTAAAGGACTGATCAGGCTAAGGGTAAGTCTCCAAGGTGCCCACAGTCTTCAGACATTTACCCAATAACAAGCGAACCTGTTTGGACTGAATAAAAGACTGCATCATATTTTCAAGTATTTAGTAGCAATCAGGTAGTGTTTTGTTTTTTCGGATGCTTTGATGTTTTCTAGATACTCAGATACATTTTAGAGAAAACCTTGCTGGTTGGGGGAAAATTATGCAGACACTGCATGGACCCAGGTCATCTCGTTGGCTTTCACTGGCCTTCACTGTGGCACTGGAGGAGGAGCCATGAAACACAGTCAAGGGGAAGTTCATATGAGAACTACAAAGCCACAATTTGATGTCTGTATTACCCACTCGCCTTACATTAATTCCATAATATCCATTACTGTCCTCCATCCCCTCCCTGCTATCCCTCCCCCACCCCCACCTTTGCACCAGAAAGGAACTTCTTAGTCACTCTTCCCCACAGATATCCAGGCTGCGCCCCACCCTTGCTTTAGCCTGTGCTGTTTTTTCTGCCTTGTCTCAGTTCCCAAGGCAACTGGAGTGACAAATGCCCAGTAGGTTAAAACTTATCATTTTGCAACACTGCATTTAATAGACATGAAGTAAAAGTTTTGACCACACCCTAGTAAGATCATCAACTTCTCTTCCAATATGCATTCATTTCATTCCAATATGCCTTTACTCCTTCTCTCAGCCAGGCATCAACAGAGATTTACAAAACACTTAAGTGCTAGACATTGTTCTAAGCACCGGAGACACAGCAGATTCTAGCTTCATTTATAGCGGGTAGGTTACAGTTGATAGGCTGAAGTGATGAACGCATGTGGGAAGCTGTTACTCCAGGAACTGGAATGCGTGACCTACATGGCGCCAGGAGGTCAACAAGCAATTCAGCTGTGTTCCACAGAGGGAATGTCCACGATGCAGATGAAGAATGGTGATCAGCAGTCTAGAAAATACTAGCAAATTTCCTAGGAATACTAGGAAAATCTCACAGGACTGCAACTCTTATCTGATTAACCTTTTTTCCTAAACCCCCTACCTACCCTTCCCTTCTCCCTACAAAAAGGTCAGATTGAGATGAGATGTACAATGGTTGTTGAGGCGACAAAACGTGTCATCTTCTTAGAGTGCCGGCATCTGAATGAAGTGCCCATGAAGATTCGATCTTGTCTCCAATTATTCATTCTGGTACAGACAGGCAGCATGAATGCTGACTTTTCTGGTTTCAAAATCACTCAGTTAATACACACAAACTGTTTGTAGTTGGCATTCTGTTCATAATGTCTTTTTAAGGTGAAGGACTGTTTGCAGAACATTCTCCAAAGTTCTAGTTGACTAGTTGACCTTGCTTCCCATCGTTTTTGTACAGTAATCATATCTATTATTTTTAATTAAATATTGTTTTGATTTATAAAGCTGAGTTTTGAATATTTTTGGCCATTCGCTATTTAAAATGAAGTTTTCTTGTTAGTTTTTTAAATATGTCACACACAAAGAAATGAACATTCCTGGCCAATGTAGCTCAGTGTTTGGAGCATCACCCCTTAACCAGAGGGTTGAGGGTTCAATTCCCAATCAGGGCACCTACCTAGGCTGTGGGTCCATCCCCAGTCCCAGCATGGGTCACCGGTCTGGGCGCATACTCTCACACTGATCTTTCTCTTTCTCCCTTCCTCTTTCTCTCTAAAGAAAGCAAATGAAAATGTCCTCAGGTAAGGATTAAAAAAAACATACACAAAACATGATTGTGCAGTCCAGTGAATCACACAGTAAATTTCTCAGAGTAAACACCCATGTTACCACCACCCAGCTCTGGAGAGAATAGTACCCACACCTCCAGAAGTATTGGCATGTCTTTTATCAGTCAAAACACCCAGCATTCTCCTCAAAGTTAACTATGATTCCAACTTCCAGTAAATTTTATTTAGTTTTGAAGTTCATATAAAGGGAATTTAAAAATTGATGTTCTTTCATGTCTTCTTTCTCTTACTCAGCATGGTGTTTGTAAGATCTGCCCACATTGTGGGGTGTGGTAGCAAGCCATTGTATGAATATCCCCAATTAGTTTCTCTATTGTGGAGGAAAGTCCAGTGACTGAAAGTAAACTCACATGGTGATCTGATCACAAATTCCTAACTGGTCATGGTAGGTAGTCATATCACAGGCCTATAACTGTTAGTAAAAGTTGGTTTTTTTTAAGATTGTGTTTATTTATTTTTAGACAGAGGGGAAGGAAGAAAAAAAGAGAGGGAAAGAAACAGAAACTCATAAAAATTCTCTACAGGTCTGGACATTCTTACATCAACTGTATTCTGCTCTTAATAAAATGCTCTGCTTCACCCTAGGACTGGTCTTATAAAATTCCTCCTTCAAACTCAGTATCTATATGAAGACCAGTTTTTTATTATTTTACTCATATTCCGGTCTCCTGACTACTTCAGTCAAAGAGATGAGCCTCTGGATTCTGATGTATCAATTATACCTCTGAGTTTAGAGGGAATTCATAAAAGTGTTGTGTGTGTATCTTTATTTTAACCACCTTGTCTTCATCACCTCATCCCACACTTCTCAAAAACCTCTTCCCGTGCCACAGTAGGTACTTCAGATTTATATATACTTCCACCCAGAAAAGGGTCCCATTTGTGCTTTCCGAACATCATTTGTTCTCATCTTCTCATTTAGAAACCTCCTACTCGTGTTGAGTGGCTCATCAGTAACCTTACCTGCAGGCTATCTTTTCATAATGTTATCACCTACAGATCAGCTTCTGTCAGGGGTCTATTTGCCTGGTCAGCACTCAGCAGAAAACAAAGCAATGTTAACCGCAATTGGCTAATGGTCAAGCACAGGATGGTATTAACCAGCCATGTCTTCCAAGTTCACAGTAGTGTATTTCTGACATTTGTTGACAAATCAGTTGGTCATTACTTCAGGGTGTCTTCCTTATACGTACCCAGAGGAGACAGTCCTGTTAGAACTTTGTTTCAAAACCATCTGTACTTCTCCTGAGCAATTGGTTTGTTATTATCTTAAGGAGACTTTTGTCTTCCAATTATGTTTTTCAGAATACTCAGAGCCATGTTTGTGACCAGTGCAGATGACTTCTAAGGATATATCGTTCATCTCATCCCTGCCTGTACCCTTCCCCAATTTTATTTTCTGTCTCTTCTTTGCCCTATGTTTAACCTCTAGTATTGTATGACATTGTTACCTGAAATAATGTCTGGAACAAGGTAGAATATGCAGACATGAAAAGGTGACTTGCTTCCCTTATTGGTTTGGTTACCCAGTATTTTTATGATTCAAAAACATGGCCATTTTGATCAGGATGTATAAGTGAGGAATGGAAAAGCTGTATTATACAAGTATTTGTCAGATTTACCATGGTATTTTGAGTTTAAAAGATGCCATAATTATTTCCCAAATCTATCACAATATTTCAAGTTTTAAAATTTCATTTTTCTTCTTTTATAGATGATTAGAATAACCTAGGAGAAAAATTAATGAAAAGCATTTTTTTCTAGAAACATTTTAATGATATCATTCTATCTTATGGTCTTATATGGAAAGATATTCTCTTTGAAAGGTTAGAAAATATAGAACCCTACATCTTTATTGCCTGTTCAGGAGAGATACACAAGTAACTTAATAAGAGTGGTTATCTGTTTTGGGATTGGTAACTGGGCAGATGGAGAATAGATAAGGGAGAAAGATTTCGCTGAATTTTTTTTATTTATTGTGTTTTGATACAAGTTAACATGTAACAAAATCCAAAACCTTAAATAAGCCAGAACAAATCATACTTTAAAAGTCCTCAAAATCCTCATTTTGACTCTAATAATGCCAAGACAATTATCATAAAACAGTCCATGTTATGTAGAATTATTTTTTTATGTAGTAACAGTAGTGAGAGTTAAGAAACAAAACAAGTGCAATTATGTCAACAAGCCAAAAATCTAAAAGTGGATTAAATTTAAAAATATCTATTATTTTCCCATGGTCTTCGAAATAAAGAGAACAACCTCTTGCTGTTGGCCATGGCGGAGTAAGTGGGACTGGACTGGTTTGTCCGCTATAAAAACTAGAACACTGGAATAATACATGAAACAGCTCCGAATATTGGGGGATAGGAAAAAACAGGACATGATCTTGAGATGGGAAATCAATGAAGGAAACCCTAGAATCACCATAGCTTTCTGCCTAGAAGCACATTACAGACCACAGTGTAGGGAGGGAGACCACGTATATCATGGCTTCCGACTGAGCTAAGGAAACGGAGGTCAGAGCTCAGGGAGGCTGAGGCAGCTGGCATTTGTGGAGCAGAATTCCAGAAAGGAAAAAGGTATGCAGAGAAGTAGCTCCAGAGATTTATACAATGTTAGGGTCTCAGTGTTGCTGAACTCTAAGCCTCACCTGTATAGGGAGAAAAATTCACGTGTCTGAGCAGAAAAGATTGGAGACCTGCAAGCTAACCAATTCCCAGAGACTTCACAAAGCTTGTAGTTCTGATGAGCCAGAGGGGAGAGTTCTTAGTGAATGCCAGGGCATTCAATGGAGATCTGAGTAAAATGATGATAAAAAATAATAGGAATAAACTAGTCATAGAGTAAACACTGCTCTAGACTAGCTCCTTCCAACAGGATACACTGCAATTATGAAAACATTTTGCACTTGTCTTGTTCCTTACAGTAGTCGCAAGCCACCTGTGGCTATTAAATGGTCGAAATGTGGCTGGTGTGACCGAGGAAAATAAATTTTAATTATACATAATACTAACTAACTTAAATATAAATAGCCACATAAATAGCTAAATGTTAGCTGCAGCTTTAGCAACATTAGACTCACCATAGCAACATTTTAAAGCTTGAAAACAAGCTTCAAAGGGATCAAGCTGATTCTAAAGAAATTCGGCTGCCTCTGAGAATAGTCTAGTACTCTTTAAAACCAAAAGACAACAGAATTCTCTTTTGTGTAAAATCATGGCTTACCTACGTAATAACAGCAGACTGGAAGCTACAGTGTTTGACCTCTACTCTTAGATCCAAAAGGCTCCCGCACTTCCACCTTTGTCTCAAGAGCCTCTCTGTCTAAGAGACGCCAGCTGTGATGTTGAGGAAACATACAGGTAGCCAGCACCGACTTGCCAGTCCCGTGAGTGAGCTCCGCTGGGACCAAATCCTGCAACCCCAGTTATACCAGTGCGTGACCAGAGCACCAGCAACATCCACCCACAGCCTCATGAAAAAGCCAGAACCAGGACCATGCAGTCAAGCCATTCCTGATTTACTGGCCCACAGAAACCTTAAGAGAGGTATGAGTAGTGTAATATGTTACCAGTGTTTTAAGTCACTATATTTTTAAGGTCATTTTTTGAAACACAGTGTTAGGTAAGTGACACAAGAGAAATTATTTTGTGCCAAAAAATTTACAACCTGTATTTAAAAATATAAATTCCTAAAAAAAATATGTATAATCACCCCTGACACACACACACAAACTGAGTATCTGAAAAACCTGAGATCTATTAAAGAAATTAAATCTGTAACTTAAATGATCCTACAAATTAATTGTAGGCTCTGATGACTTACTTTTCTAGTGAATTCTATCAAAGCTGTAAAAGAAAAGAAAACATACTAATCCCACACATACTCTTGAAGAAAATAGAGGGGGACAAAACACTTCCAAACTCAGTTTACAAGGTCAGCATAATTCACGCACCAAATCCAGGAAAGAGATTAAAAAAAAAGGCTACAAACTAATATCCTTCATGAACAACATTTAGAATATCTTTAATAAAATATTAACAAATTAGGTGGTGCGGGAAGAAAATACGAAGAACTATAATTGAACAACAATAAACTAATTTAAATTAAAAAAAAGAAATATTAACAAATTAAACCAATTTATATATAGAATAATACCTCCCGAAGTGTATTTTTCTCAGGGATGCAAAGTTGGATTAACATTCAGAAACCAATTACTGAAAAATGTCCTGGAATTGCACAGTGGTGATTATTTCACGACCTAGTGCATATACTAAAAACACTGAATTGTATACTTCAAAGTGATGAACTTTATAGTACATGAGTTATATCTTAATAAAACTATTAGAAAATGTCAATTTGTATACATTACTAAGTTAACAGAAAAAATTCATGCATCTATCTTAAAGAATGAATAATAAGCATTTAATAAAATTCATCTTCCATTCATAATTAAAACACAAAAAACTACAATTACAAGCTTAACCTGATAAAGAAAATCTAAGAAAAGAAACTATAGATGACATGACCCTTAAAGGTAAAATGCGAAGTGCTTTGTCTTTAAGATCAAGAACAAGGCAAGGTTAAACACTCTTACCATTTCTATTCATTATTGTAATTGAGATTGTAGTTAAGGCAAGAGAAACAAAGAAAAGGGAGAAGTAAAATTGTCTTTATTCACAGAGAATATAATGGTCTGTATAGAAAGCCCTATAAAAATCTATCAAAAAAACCTACTACAATAAGTGAGTTTAACAATTTTGCAAAATACGTCAACTCTCAAAAATCATTGTATACACACACACATATGCAATAAATAACAGGAAATTGAAATTGAAAAACAAAACATTTCCACTTACAATAGCAGACATCCACTTGCAGCCGAAATGAACTAACAGGGACCAGATTTACCTTCTTCCTGAAACAATAAAAAAAGGACAAAATGAATGAAATGAAAGTTTGTAAGACACTAGATATCACATAAGGAAGGACAGTGAGGACAGTGACTCTTGAGTGATGGAAAATGAATGAGGTGACCCCTACAGTTGCTTCACCTCAGTGCCATGAGAGAGTTCAGGTAAAGCCCGGTGGACTCCCTGAGCAGAGGACGTGGACAGATGAGTCTAGGGAGACCAGGGCAGACAGAATTTGCAGGACGGCATACAGGAGAGGAGATGGGTGCACAAAGAGAGAACAGGGGTTTCTGCAGAGGGCCTCCCTTGCATATACAGAATACCGGTCAGTGCAGGCATGGGAGAAAATTACCAGAACCCCAGAAACAACCGCATTAGATGTAGTAGCTCCCAGCCCACACACAGGTCTGGAAATGGTGATGGTTTCTATCTGCCAGAGTAGAAAACCCCATTTTTCTTGGGGTGGTGGGTAGATGCCCAACTAGTGCCTTTAGACCTTTCTACCCAACATAAGTTTAAAGCAACACCCTAAAAGATCAGTTTCCAGGTAACTTAAATGCATCCCAGTTCAAAGCTTCAGAATATTTATAGGAATACAAAACTATGCAGCTCTAACAAGGAGAATTTTATAGCATCTGAAAGTCAGTAAATAATTACATCATGAGGCAGTATGCAGCTGTGAAAAATTTTAAAGATGAGGAAGATCTCTTAAAACTAATATGGAGTGATTTCCAGAACAAACGCTGAAGTGAAAAATGCAAAGCCCACCAGTATTGTCTATGGCATATTACACTTTACAGAAAAAAGTACGTAAGATAATACATCAGTGTCCACTCATTTGCATACTGATGATTCTCTATTTTCTTCATTCCTGAAGAAGAAATTCAGGAAATATAAACTAAATACTAGAGCTTGTTTACCTACAGGGGTTTTGGACAAGGGGTGAGCATAGAAGGTACAGAGTTAGAGTAGCAGAGTGTCAAGAGAGTGACATTTCCTTGAAATAGCTTTTAATATAATTCTTACATTTAAAACCATACTAATGTTTCATGTATCCTTCACATACCTCTAAATTCAACATATAATTAAAAGCAACCAGGACATGAGGGTGACTCCAGATGAAATACAAATGCTAGCAAATGAGCCCTGGCCAGTGTGGCTCAATCGGTTAGAGCATCATCCCATAAATCACAGGCAACCAATCGATGTTTCTCTCTCACATCTATGTTTCTTTCTGTCACTCTCCCTGTCTCTAAAATCAACAAGCATCTCCCTGGGAGAGGATTAAAGAAAAAAACTGGCAAATAAACTGACCTGTGTTACACACCAATAGCATAACCTCACTGAAGGGTGTAGAAAGAAAAGAACTCTCCAAAGTCACTTTGGAAAAGGGTAGCTTGACTAGATGCTGCAAGGCTAAAGACAATAGTACGTGCACATAAACACTGTCATCTAGTTAGTAAATGATTTGGTTTTGCTTTTAAACAGGGGCAATGTCTAGCAATGAAACTACTTGAACAAGAAAGTTCAAGTTTGGTGAGAACCAGGCTTTTTCAGTGTTAGAGAAAGAATTGTAGATAAGGAGAAAGAAAGGCTTAAAATCAACCCCATGCCATTGGATTAGAATCCAAGGTAGCAGTATTAACTTGTTCTTTTTTTAAATATATGCCCAGGTAGATAGAAAAATAGAGATATGTGTGTCTGCATGGATTAGAATACATACATAAAATGACTAGCTCTGCCTGCTTGGAGGGTCAGCGTAATGACACCCCACTAACAATGAAACTACCTAACACCAAGATACTGGTCCCTAAAATACTACATTCAAATTAAAGGAACCTGGGCCCCTTGGAGAAGTGAACAATTCTGGGCCTGGAGCATCATAAATACAAGTGGGACAGGAACATCCTGTGGTGCCGGAAAGTAAGAAAATACTCAGAAAGGTCCTGCAGGGCCAGGGCTGGTGGGTCTTTTGTTTTTAATATATTTTATTGATTATGCTATTATACTTGTCCCAGTTTTTCCCCCTTTGCCTCCCTCCTCTCAGTACTTCCCATTCCCTCCAATAATCCCCACCCTTAGTTCATGTCCATGGCTCATGCATGTAAATAAGTCCTTTGGCTTCTCCATTTCCTATACTATTCATGACATCCCCCTGTCTACTCTGTACCTACCAATTTGTACTTCTTAATCTCCGCATACTTTCCCCCACTCTTCCCCTTCCCACTCCCAGATGATAACCCTCCAAATGATCTCCATATCCATGATTCTGTTTCTGTTTTGCTTGTTTGCTTAGTTTGCTTTTTAGATTCAATTGTTGATAGCTGTGACTTTATTGCCACTTTAATGTTCATAGTTTTGATCTTCTTTTTCTTAAATAAGTCCCTTAAACATTTCATAAAATAATGGCTTGGTGACGATGAACTCTTTTGGCTTTACCTTGTCTGGGAAGCACTTTATCTGCCTTTTAATTCTAAATGAAAGCTTTTCTGGGTAAAAGAGGACAGGGGCCCACCTGAAGGAGCTCTTAATGGCAAAAACTGAAAAAACGTTAGCAACAAAACTGGATTTTAACCCACGAATAAATATCCACAAGTCTATACTGGTGTAGATAAATAATAGAATAAAGAAATAAATATGGGGGAAGATATAGTTCTTCTCAGTAATATTCAAATTAATAAATATAGAAGGAAAAAATCATCATTAGGAAAATACCATAAAAATATATGACATAGATACAATCTTAGAAATATTAGCATTACTAGCCCTACTATAATTTGCATACAATAAAATGGCCCATTTTATATACACAGTTTGATGACTTTTGACAAATCTATAAATGTGTATAGCCATCACGAAAATCATAATTGGAGTATTCCTATCACATGAAAAAGTTCCTGCATGCTCTTTGCAATTAATCTCTCCCATCCCTGGCCCAAGACAACCACTGATTAGCTTTCTGTCACCATACATTAGTTCTGTTCTTTCTAGAATTTTATGTTATATTACTGACAAAAGATTCTGACTTAAACTATAGAGTCAGACAACTATAAAGAAATGATACAAATTTTTCTCGTGTTTTCTATGTTCTAAATGGGATGACTGTAATAGCATAATCAATAAAACATACTTTAAAAATAAAGAACACAATTTGTAATATCTAGGTCTCGGGCTGGGTTTCATTTTGAGCTAGATTTTCTTTGATTTAGCCAGGGTCCAGCGAGGGAAATGGAACCTACATCATGCTGTTCATCAGATGAAATTTAATATTGGGAATATTGGCTGCTACTAGCCCTCGGGCTGAAAGGTCAATAGAAGGAGACAGTGGTATCAAAGCTGGATAAAAACTCCACACATGGCTGGAGTTCGTAATGGAGAGAGCTGGACCCTTGCAGGAGACACTGCTGAAGCACATGGGATGGAGAGTCTCCAGCTGCCTCTCCCTCCCCCCATCTTTCCCTTTTTCTAGTGCCTCCTGTTGGCTGAACTAGATGGAAAGCAGGGGCAGAGGAGCCTGGGAAAGGTAGCTGGGTGGGCTCAGCCCCTGCGGTTCTGGGTGAGCAGAGGAAGACAAGGAGGAAATGGACCAGAGGGCAAACAGGCAAATGGCCAGCCCACTCGGCACACGAGATGCCTTTTTAACTTCCACTGTGGAAAACTGAAGGGAAAATGTGCTGGTGTGGAAGGTTTAAAGTTCTAAATATTTTATCTTGACCTTCTTGAGGAAGGTGAATGGGGATACATCGTTTTGTTCCAAAACACCTCCCAGGGGTGTTTTGTAAAATAATGAAAATACGTCGAGAACTTATCACAGAACCTGTACCAGATGAACAATGAGTAATTTCTGTGCTTCAAATCTTACCTCAGAGGGTCATTCCATTTTGTGTAGAAAATGAAGTAAATCGTGAGTGAAAAGAGTACAAATATTTTAACATCTGAACATTCCTCTTTGTAAAATCAAATAAAGCAGAGAGACAGATAGACCCACAGCCAAGGCATTTATCTTTTTTGAATTGCTGATGTATCACTAGGCAAATAATGAGCCAGAAAAAACAAACATTCATTTTCCTGCCACTTCGGGGTGGGATCCTAATTCCTTCAATTCAGCATATTTAGGATCTGCCTTGCCCTCTTTCCTGCATTCTCCCCAATCTTTGTCCTTGTGCGATGCTCTCCTTCCACACATGTTGTTCTTTCTTAATAAAGTAATAGCTGACACAGTCTGCCCTCTCCACAGAGTGATTATGTTAGCCTGTTGTTATTGATTTTGTTGCTAAGGTCTAAGGATCTGCTAATGCTCTGCAGTGGGAGTGGTAGGAAGCAGGGGAAGGAAAAGCATGTGCTTATAATTTTCCCATAAACCAGATGTTTTCTTTAACTCTTACATCTTTAAAATATTTTCTCTTTAGGAAAAAAAAAGAATTAGAACAAGTTTAACAGGCCAGTTCTTAAGTTTCTCAGCATTCCAGGAGTACACACCCAAATAACTGAGTGTGAAGAATGCTGCTCATTTGATAAGCTACACGTCTAGTTCAAGTACAACCTGTTTCTTAAGTCAACTGCATTCTTCTCATTTTCCAGTGATTCTGTTTCTATGATTGTTACTGTATTAGGAACCCCCCACCACCACACACACACACACACTTAGTGGAGTAAAACAGTAACAATTGTATTATCACACAGATTCTACAGATCAAGAATTTTGGTAAGACTCAGGTGGGCTGTCATCTCGGCTCCAGTGGGATTGTCACTCCCAGAATACAGACCCTAGAAAAAATGGTAGTTTTAAGATCCTTGGACTTTCATAACAATTGGATTCTTCCAAGCTGAGCATCCCAAGAGAACCAGGAGCATGCTGAGTGACCTTTCCTGACCTAGCTTCAGAAGGGCTATATCATCAGTCCCACCATACATCACTCCCACTCTACATCTCTCCCACCATACTCTGTTGCAATGGTTTTCAACCAGGGGCAATTTTGTGTGCCCCTCCCCCTAGAATTTTTTT